CTATAATCGACCTTTACGGTGAATACCGGTATTTAACTTTGAAATTCACTAAATCCCATTGACAATGACAACAATAATTATTACCTAGTATTGCAATACAGACGCTAAAGATGATTAGTGCATTTCATCATTCCATGAAAGTCCCCTTTAAACCTAGAATAGAAAGGAGGTGGATGTTGAAAGTTTTTAAAATTATCATTTAATCAAATATAACGAATTGAAATGAACCAATGACAAGAATATAAAAACAAATACATTTTTGATAAATTCAAGATATACTGTATCTCTAAATTTAAGATACATGTACATGTACATTGAAAAATGGAATCGCTTCTTTTGTCTTTTGTCAGAATGTGTTGGGAACACTGGGTACAACTGTACGATACCCTGTCCTAAAGGATATTATGGCAGAGGATGTAAGAAAGAATGTATTTGTGACAACTGTGATAGCATGACCGGTGTCTGTCCTCAACAGAAAACATCAAGTAAAGCATTGTATTAATATATGTTTTTAAATTGCTTAGTCCATGTTAAAGTTTTGAAAAATATTTTTTTATTATGGAAAAAAAATCAACATCCCCCCTTTGATACATGTTATAAATTTTGTTTGATTGTTTACAATAAAGTAATTGTTTAAATCTGAAATAAATTTCGATTTAGGAATTTCCTTGGTCTCTATGGCTATTTTTCTAGCGGCTGGAATTATGTTTGTTGCTGCATTAGTGGTTTGTCTATTTGTGAAGAGGTAAGCTAGATTTTTTACAATCTGATTGAAATGGGATAATTTGAAATCTCACATTTTCGGGGTTGGAGTTATTAATCGTTGTTTTCGAGGTATGGAGAGACCCACAAACTCATGACCACCACGAAATGTAGATTTTCATATGCATTACTACTAAACATTCTCAAACAACGAAATCAAATCCCCACAATCCAATATTTTCCCCCAAACCTTGAAAATTTGACCCCACAAAAATATGTGATTTTACATAAAGAAAATATGAACGAGCGAAAAAAAATATTATTTTGTTACCAAATTAACAAATATAAAAATTGGCATGACAATGAATGATGCGAAAAATATAAAGTATAGGTAATATAATTCAGGTCAATTCAATTTCTGAAATATATGTAATAAATTTTATCGATGTAGATCTTCAAGGAAAATGTCGTCGAATTCATATAATAATTATATGCCTGAAAGTTCCACCCCTGCCGATTTAGCGGTTCAAAGCTACGCAAGAGTTGAGGAAAACGTGTACCACGAATGTGAGCCACTTTCCTTAAATTACAGTGATCCAACTTATCAAGACTCTGAAGGCCATTACGATAGATATAATATCCCTGAAATTTTTCTCCGAAAGAAGGCAAAGCCAACAATTCTCTCTATCCTTATGAATGCAAATAGAAGTTCAGAAACTAATGTAATGAACAGAGGATATTTACATGTTATTGACATAGAAACACACACAACAGAGTCATCTGGAATTGGACAAAATCCACCACCACAACAACCGGCAGAAGCAGCGGAAGCACTACCACCACCGTCACCAGCAACACCACAACCACCGCTACCAGGGACAGCGGTAGAGACAGCAAAATCACCACAACCACCACCAACACATAAACGACCAAAACCAAGTCAACTCCAAAAAGCGAAAGACGCACTATCACTGGCAAACAAAACAGCAAGAGAACCACGTTCTACATCTATAAAACAAATGATAGAATTATTTGACCCTAAACACAATTTCTAAGAATAAATGTTTATTTACTGTTATTAAAATTCTCTTTCCATTTTTATACTTCTTAGTTTGAATAGAAAAAATAATAAATTTCAATATTGCTGCCTCGAATTGTATCTAAATGTTTGATACTATGTGTGCATGCTGCACAAACATTATTTTTGCTTTAAAGTTAAGCAAGCTCCCCTTGATGTTATAGAATTTGAACAGATTAGCAATTATAGAAAGTGGAATAAATTTCAGAGATATGAAATCATTGTAGTAAGCATTTTAAATGTAGGCGAGTTTCTCTCTCATGCTGTTGATCCTTTGAGCTGGATATCCAATTTTTTTTTTACGTCGCACCTAAAATACTATTTTCTAAATTTCAGCAAACGTAAACATATAAGGTGACATGGATTGGTTTACTTATTTTTTATTATCGTATCATTGAATCATATGTATAAAAAATATTTCTGCTTTTCCAGCAAATACGATAATTAAGCAGTACATACACGTACAATTAACACCTCGCCCTTTACAACAAGAAAAAAAGAAAAGATTGAAACACTGGATAACATTGAGTTATTAATTTAATATACAGTATTACACTTAAATTTATGAAGATACATTTGTTCTTATACAAAACAAAACAAAAAATACTGATGAAATTTGATATAAAATCAAATTGATGTATTAAAACAAAGTTGCTTTTTTAAACTCACTTTTCGTGATATAATTTTTTTTAAAAGATCATCAAAGAGCTTCTTATGCGTCAAAGACCTTTTTCAATATCTATTTTGCTTGATTGCTGCCACTGGTGGTAATTGACTTTTGCAAAAAACGCTAACTTTTACAGTTGACGGCTTATTTTTACACTTTGACAATGTATGGAAGTCTTCTAAGATACAGAGAGGATATCTATATTGTGTGATTCGATATTGGCTTTATCCAACGAGTTGAAATGGTGAATTTATTTATTCGCGAGGCTTGCCGATCGAATAAACACCATTTCAACGGGTTGGGAAAAACAATATCAAAACACACAATTTCAGATGTTCTTTTCATCTCATACGACTTTCGTTTTTAACAAAACTTTGAGACCTCCCCTGTCAAACTACTTGAATGATTTCTAATTCAAATTGATGACGTATAACTTGATGATGTTGACATGACTCGAAAGAAAGTAGATCGTGTTCAAAATTTAGAATTTTTGCTATCTGCGTTTTTAAAAAATATTGTGACAATTGCTGGATCGGAGATTTTAATCAAAGGAACTTCTGACTGAAAGTTGTAAGGACCAAGGGATCATGAAAATTAACTCTTTGTACGGTGGTAGTACAAAACGTGCTAGGCCTATGCAAGGCTAGGCCTACTTGTAGATTCATTCTTGATCCATGAAGTTACACCTACATGACTAGGTAGGCATACGTAGTATAATATAAAAAAAAGCATTGTTGAAGATGTTAAAGAAATTTTATAACAACAATTTAACTGTAGGCTTTTACTTTCTCCGAAAACGATTTAAAGGGGGTGAGGGGTAACATCCGTCTTCAAGAACCCAATATACAGGTACCTTGATAAAATAAGACACTTCTTTGACATAGGCCTATACGAGTCTTTGTCTTGCTTTTAACGACATTATTGCTCTTTATCATTTATTTATAAGGGCAAGGATTTTCACAAATAAAAGCTTCAATAAAATAAAATATTGAAGCGAGGGATCGTGTCAAAACCGGAAGTGCTACTGATAAAGCATCTACTAGTGGATAAAGCATAAGTTTATCTCATGGGTAGTATCATTCACGCCTATGAGATAAAACTATTTACATTGAACCTAATATTTATATAACAAAAAAGAACGGTTTCTTTCAAAGCACAGATAAGTTGCTCTTGAAGAAAACGACAACCACACTACCTTACATGTTACTCCCGGCCTTCTCATGTTAGAGTCCCTAAAACCCTACCTATTACCACTAGAAACGTTTTCTTATCCATTATCAATTATGTATCTCCATACATGACGCAGATGTAAATGTCAAAGTGTACCGCTAACTGTAAAAGTCGGTGCTTCTTGCAAAAGTCCAATAGTAGTATTATGTATGGACTGTTGCTCTTGCAATGTGTGAACTTGGTAATGGAAGAGGAAGCATTGGTTGAAGGGGTGGTCCTGCTGTTATTTGTAAACGGAGTGGTGCTTCTCCAGATCCAGAAGCCACTTCTGTCATGTTTTCTTGTGATCCAATTACGTATATGTATCCTGGCTTTGCCGTTTTCCCAGAACATTTATTTTTCCTCTTCAGGAGAGACAGTATGGATGGTTTTGCTTTGTTTTCTTTCATTCCTTCGAGTAGATGAGATCTGTCATATTGACTGAGGCAAATCGAGTTAGCTGAATCATTATAGAAAATTGATGACTGCTCACATTCCTGATACACGTTTTCTTCCATTCTGGTGTAGATTTGAGAAGCTGATTCACCAAGGGAACGGCTGTCTATTTCATATTTACCATACTTTTTCCTGGCCAATTCTCTGTGATAAAATGATAAGCTTTGCATTTTAGTTTTAAAACTAAAACTAAATATTTCTGTCAAATAAATTAATAACTATAAATGAATTATATATTTAAATATGATATTATTATTTGTCGCATATCTGCTGTGATTTTCTTTGATCTTTCTGTGGTGAAATATCCCATATCACATATGCGATAAACTGTCAACGCCCCTTCATATATCGCTGCAGGAGGCAGAATTAGGTCAATTTCTTTTTGAACTTTGACAATCTCAATGAAATTTGCGTCATCAGACATGCGTCAAGTTGCTTACATCAAAGATTGCCTCGTACTATTAGTTATATCGTTTTCATGGGGAGCATATTTTATATGTTGTCACACTTATCTCAATAAATTTAAAGTTAATCATTTAAGTTACACTTTTCTGAGATAAATACTTTTTCCTTTTATTTAAAATTTTTTTTTCTTCCTAATCAAAAATAAAAGAGGTGTTTTCATGCAGTGTTTTATTTTATTATATCTGATATAACAGTTGAAAATGTAATAATGTTATATACCTTTTTACATAGAGACAAGTTATTAGTGCTGCAACAAAGAAAACACTGCCAGTCGTAAAGAAAGCCAAGGAAGCCACTGAAATTCCTAGTAAAATAGAAATTAGCAAGACTATAATCATATGTGAACAATTGTAATTTTCAAGCCATAGTTATTCTAAATTTTCTAAAAAAATTAAGAAGAAATATATTCCGTTTCAAAAAGGTTTCCCTTCATTTCAATGTGAATATCTTGAAACTATTTTTATCATTTTTACACATTTGATTTATTTAAAGAAACACAATGAGTCAAAAATGATGTGTTTCTTTTAAAATATCTGTAGCATACACGGAAAGACTTATGAATATTATATAGCATATATAGCGAAGATATGAAAATTAAACTGCACTGTAAGGCAAGAAAAGACTGCACAATATAAGTGCCGGAAAAAAACAAAGGTTTCATCTACCTTTTCGTTGTTTTCGTGTATGTCAAGGTCACGCCACTTTTATTTTTAGCTAAAACTTGTAAACCACATTCAATTGGAGCATGCAAGAATGAGAAATATGTTCTAAAATTAACAACTTTTTGAAAAGATTGCATCAAAATTGTTGGTCTACTTACATTCATTCCTGGGTTCTTGAGACCATGGTTCTATGGTAATTTATTCAATTTTTTTCTTTTGTACAATTGGGAGGAAGAATGCAATATTTTCGTTATGGGGCATACTGAAATTATTTTTACTTTTATTTTTCTCCATAAAAATAGACTTTTTTAGGTTTTGAAACCTGTAGTTTTCTGAAACCTCATACTTTTAGGAACTGAACAAAATTTACTAGGGTCATGTAAAAATTCTACGTTTGTCAAATTTTCCCTTTGTGCGTCACGGTATAAATTTATTAAGAGTCAAGATCAGCAAGCATCGAGCATTTAGTTAAAAAATGTGGAAAGTGGCATAGAAACAGATTTGGTTAAAACTCATATATAAATTTTCAGAACAAAGGGCATGATAGAAAAAAGCATGCAAAAAATAATTTTTCGCATTGTTGCTATGGAAACCACGCGCCTTTCAGATAGCGTGGTTTGTACTTTATCATGACACTTGAATTTTTGGTTAAACAAATACTTTTTTATTACTAGTCATTAAAAAAGCTTTTTAAATTATTATTTTATTTATATAAATATACTCTATTTTAACAACTGTAGATTATTGAAATTCTCTTCACCTTTGGATAAATAAAACTAGTTTTTGGAGGTTTATTTTCTTTAAAAAACAGCAAATTTGAAGTACTCTATAAGAAATCTACAACCACTTTAAAGCTAATCAGCATAAAATATTAATTAAACAGTATTTGTTCTAGAAGAATCCAAAAAAAAATCTGCAGGCAACTAAAGCATTTGTATATAATAACTGATTTTAATCCATAATTTTCTGTCACTTTTGCTTCAAATTACCTCCCTTTGGTATAGCTCTCTAACATAGGAGGAATAAACGGTAGTTTGTTTTCAATAACAATGTACAGAAGACAAGCCGAAAATTACAAACTTGGAGCAGTCTGAGCCTCTGTTTTGGCGTTTTCATGGGTCTTCATTACGGTGAGTGATTGAAATTTTTACAATTTACCATTACAACAGTTACTGAAGAATGTCTAGCATAAATTAACCATGCAGTAAAATATGTAAAACTTGGCAAGTGTTTTTGCACATTTGAATTTAATTCTGATTGATTATATATGTTAGCATTATTTTACTATTTATAACTAAAAAGAAAAGATTATGAATGACCCGAGGAACCAGGAGGAGGGGGTATGCCCCCCCCCCGCCCCCAATAATATTGCCGATATTAAACTATAATATGAGCAAATGAAATTAAATCCCCCAACTTAGATTGTTTCTGCGGGCCTAACGTGAAGAAGTTGGTCATGATCGGTCACATAACTGTATCCAAAATTATAAAGTTTAATTTGAATTAAGTTTAATTTTGTTGTATCCACGGTATGTATGTAACCAAAGTCACTCACCAGCTATAATAATTATAACTGATAGTAGGGTAAATAAAAATTTTGTATAGTAGATATCTTTATTTACCATAAGATTTAAGATAATACCTGTTTTTTACATGAAAAATTATGAATTGATGAAGACCAACACTATTATGAATTATTTGTAAAATGGAATGACCTTTGTTATGGCGCCTGTAAAACAATGAGGGACAGGGGGTTAACTCTGTACTTAATATATTTTAGTTTAGGAAAGGGGATTACCTTGGAAGTATTGTGATACAGACAACTGTATTATGTAGTGGACTAGTGGTAAAAAAATATATAACTTTTTGCTGATGTCATCCAGTGTTAACTTATAAAAGAAAATTCATATTCAGCTACCATTTTCTCCGGTACCACTGGACTAATTTAAGTCAACTAGGTTCAAATAATAAGCATGCATCATTAGATTTAAAGCACGTAAATTTATGAAATGAATATCTATACTCAATTTTTTTTTCTTGGGAGGGGGGGGGGGTTATTGGAAAGAAATGAAAAACATAATTTAGAGTTTTGACAATACCTAGAACCAGTTGACCTTTTTATTGCAACTTTTTAAATTTAAAGAATATCTAAAATCAATACGGTCTCAACTTTGTGTTGTACACTTCTGTTTTTAGAATGAAATCCAGCACTTTGAAGCCAAACTCGGAGGGAAGCAGAAACAGAATTGGATGGGCTTATATAGAATTAGACAGGAAAAACATAAATAATAGTAATAATACATTTAGTAAAAACGTTAACTTTTTAAAATAAAATGATAAACCATTGAGATTTCTTGGAATTTAATTGATTCCAATAAACATGCTTTGCATTCATCATCATTGCTCAAGCTCAACTAGAAATGGTTCCTAGTATATGAAGGCAAAGCTGTATAATATTATTACATTTTAATTTTATCACTATTTCAGATTATGAGAATGCATTATTACAGTACAGACCATTGATACTGGATGTGAGTGGAAAGTATTATCGGAGACTCGGGGATCCAGAAAATAGATCCATGAATTGTACAGTGTATTCATGAAAGTGGATCAAATAAAAATGTTCAATCCAAAAGTAACATTCTTTGTTCGCCTGTAAGCATTTTTTTATTGATGTAAATCTAATAAATATCAATTTTTAGCATGCAGATTCATAATTAGCATGCGCGGATCTAGAGGGGTGGGGGGTCGGTGGGTCAGGACCCCCCCCCCCCCCCCTGGAATTTACAAGGTTAAAAATGTATATACAAAAGCAAGAAAAAAGTTACCTTGGACCCCCCTTGGAAAACGCCGCCCCCCCCCCCCCCTGGTAAACGTGAATACGTGTGAAATGGGTATTAAAAGAGAAGAATGTCAGGAAATAGAAGTCATAGACTAACACCCCCCCCCCCCCCCCCCGCATTTTGAAGTATCATAATTAAAATAAGGTCAGTATTAAGTGATCAATCAATTAATTTCAAAACTGACAAAATGTTTTTGTGAAAAAAAAGAAAGAGGGCTAGTTTAAAGTCAGACGACACGTTCCTCAAATTTATGTTTTGTATCTCTAGGTATTATATATAAAAATATTCATATTTGTCATTCTCTTCTGATTTCTATATTGTTTTTAAAATGTTTTTAAATATAAGTACAACAAAAATTTCGATATATGCCATTCAAAAGATTGCCCATTAGGGTTATTATGAAATATCTTTTAGGGTCAGTTCAAGTTTAGACATTCATATATATAAAGCCGTTCCAGATTTCTATATTATTTTCAAAATGTTTTTAAAAATAAGTACCAAAAAAATTCTATATATGCCATTCAAAAGATTACCCATTAGGGTTATTATGAAATATCTTTTAGGGTCAGTTCAAGTTTAGACATTCATAAATTTTAGGTACCAGTAGCTACTGAGGTCTTAGCTGTCTTGCAATTTTGTTTCTTAATTAGGACAGCAGGGGAATATATCATCAGTTCAATACCAAAGGTTGCAGTTATTTGTTCTTGACAGACATGGTATCGTTTTTTGAAAGTGCATGGTGTGGGGCAGGCATAAAAAAAATGCAAGAAAAAAGTGGGGAAATTGACCAAACTTGGGGGGGGGGGGTAAACATCAGATTATGTTGAGGAAATAGTTGGTTGGTAGGGGGATGTCACCCCCCCCCCCACCTTCCCAACCCAAACCGGATGCAACATGCCGGATTGATATGGTTTTAATTTAAAATTATGTGACCTGTCATAGTGACTCTCTTTCATAAACTAGAATTATCGTGAGCAAGCTCATAAAATGATGCCCACCCTCCTGCTATTGAATTAAATGTTTTTTATTGCAAAAAAGGTCCAAATATTAATTTAAAACCTTTTTAAAATTTTGTAAGTGCAGATATACATTCCAACTATGACTATGACATATACTCAAGTCATAGGTAGTAAAACCGTTGTGTTGAGCACAGACTTCCAATTTCTCTTCATTCGAAGTTGGATATGTAAACGTGCCAAACTCATATAGTACACTTTTACTGCAGTGACCTTGAAAAAGCTATGTCTTTGGGTCAATTAAGGTCAAACATGTCCAAATGACCTTTGGTCAAGGTCATGACAAACCTACAGCTATAAAATAATACCCGAGATGAAACTTGAAGTCTTTTCATTAGAATGTTACAGAATAGGCAAAGATTGCACTATTCTTCTACCAATGACCTTGAACTTGTTCAAATGACCTTGGGTCAAGTTTTTGACACATCTCTAGATCATAAGCAATCTTAATATCAAATATGAACTTTCAGTGTCACTTCATTGAAACGTTATGAACAAGTCAAAATTTTACATACATATGGATGGGTGAACAATGTGATTCCTACCCCCCCCCCCTTTTTTTCAAGTTTCTTTTGTGAGGAATATAAATTCCTTTTGAAATTGAATGTGCATTTATTTATTAACAATAGCAAAATTATGAGTATGCTTTGATCAGAACCAATATGACAAATATAATGGACACTGTACATGTATTCAATTTACCCCCACCCCTTCAAAAAAGCTTATAAATGTCAGATTGTCACACATTTTAACCATTTGTAACTTTTTTCTTCTAAAGTTGCCTGCAAATTTTATTGTATAGATTTGA